TTTTATACTTTTAGCTCAACTTTGACTCGGAAACGTCTATACTTCTCGAGTAGTCAAGAGTTTTTATGCAGTCAGATTCTACTCACATGTGGAACACACTGAACGCGTCCCAAGGGAAATCAAACGAGCTGCTTACTTTGAGCTGTTGTTCTTCTGAAATTGTTACTCAGTATAGCTTGTAATTTAGTTATATTGTAGAGTTTAAAGCATATTTTAACCTCAGTAACACGTATTACGAATAATTATAATGCCATTAGTTTTAATCGTGAATTAATTTAAGTTTCACTGCAGTATAAGTACAATATTGTACTTGTACAAATGAAATGAGATGACGTTATGGAATAGTAAACCAATTGTAACACTCATAAGAAACAATTGAACCTCTCTTTTAGTTTTAATCACAAGTCATGGATTAAAACACTCCCGAGTGGAAGACAATTTTAAATTATGTTTGTTGTTGTAATAAATAATTTACGATTACCTCTTTTACTTAGTTATTTCTATTTACTTAGTTGGCACAAATGTATGTTAATAAACTCGTGCTTGTCGTTTGGTGGCATAATTTCAGAGGAAAGACCACGCTGTTAAATTTACGATTAACATGAAAGAAACATTTGACAGCAACAAATTTACCACACACACTAAACTCAAACTAAAACCAGTTTGAGAGATTTCAGAATGCATAACCATACTAATAACTGTGTCCAAAGTCCTAAGGCTGCCTATATTTTCTTCAACAATAATTAATTTTTCCCAACTTAAATTATTTTCTATCGTGAAAACTTAATGTGATAGTAATTCCCATTTTTGACACGTTTGCAAAAGCTTTCACTATTTTCATCACCAAAGAACCAATCCGTTTAGAAACCGGACCAAACTCAAGTCTATATACGCACATTCTCTTGCCCAAATGAGGAAGAGCCGCTTTCAAGGGGCGGAAGCGTGGCTAATTTAGATAATTGGACCTCAACAACACCCAGCGGCTTTGCTAATTGATAGCGGCTGTTAACAAAATTAAAACTACCCCTTAATACCACACTTGGCCGGGTGGTCGTAGCTCTAATGTCGGGTCAGTTTGTACCAGATTAGATCGTTGTTGAGGATAAAATCTTGGTAATTTGGACCACAGAGAAGAAACAGTTCTGTTACAGAAGTAGTCTAAAAAACTTCATTGGAGTGTTGAATGTGTACCTGCTCGTTTACAGTGCCGCTGGTCTAATATGAAATTCAGTTTAAATAATTAGTCTAATAATAATAATGAGGAATGTTAATTACCTAATTGTGATACCACAGTCTTTTAGTCAGCTGAGAGGTTAGTTTACTGGTGAAGGTTTCGGTTTCCAAGGCCCCGGGTACGAATCATGCCAATCACAAAATGGCTTTTAGGCGACCCTCTAGGCCTGCAGTCAATTGTGAAATGGTTCCTAGAGCCTTCGAAGGACGTAATATGAGACATAAAAATAGTCTAATAAACTTTACTTGACAGTCGAATTATGAACTTACTCGTTTACACAGATACTCACTCACAGATACGAAGAAGCTGAGTCAGACAGTTCCCATATCGCATATTCTTATGTTGACGAGATAAATCATATATGCTTACATAGACACAAAATGAAGAGCGAGACATAGCGCCTCAGAGTTCAATATTTTTGGAAATTGTGTTATGTATTTTGTAATAATCTGGTAGTCGTAAATCGAAATACTCTCCTGTTTCGAAATATCTTGGGGAAATACTATAGATTTTACAAAACCAAAGCAAGCACGTTTGTAGAATAGTGCGTTTAGAGGATAATATGATTTTTTGAACTATATTTTATTTAAGGACAGTGCATTCGCAAGATAGTCTGTTTGTGGGATAGTGAATTTGCTGGATAGCCTGTTTCTAGGATAATACTTTGCAGAATAGCATGTTTAAAGGGTAGTCCATTTGTAGGATAGTCTGTTTAAAGGGTAGTCCATTTGTAGGATAGTCTGTTTGAAGGGTAGTCCATTTGTAGGATAGTCTGTTTGAAGGGTAGTCCATTTGTAGGATAGTCTGTTTATAGAATAGTCCGTTCGTAGGGAAGTCCATTTGCAGGCTAGTCAATTTATACTTTATAGAATAGTCCATCTGTTAGATACTATATTTTTTGGAAAGAATGTTCAGAGATAGCCTATTTGTAGCTGTTAGAGTCCATTTGCTGGATATTGTGGCTGTAGTATTGTCCATTAGGACAGTATAGTTGTTGGATGTAGTCTGTTTGTAGAATAGTGCATCTGCAGTATGTTTGTAGAATAGTCTGTTTGGAGGAGAGTACATTTGTGGGATAGCCTGTTAGTAAAACAGTCCAGCGCACGTAAGCTAGGAGCACTGCAGTGTAATTGATAAGGCTATCAGGCAGGTGTGCCGGTCATTCTAATGGCTCATTAGGTCAGCAATGGTTAGGGCTAGACCATGTAGCCTTATACAGGGACCGGCTGTGAGCCAAGTAGGGATATCACTTAGCTACACGTCGTAAATTCTACCTACAACAGTCACAACTCCGACAAGGCATATCTCCGAAAACATTACCTTTACACCATGCAATTTGTGGACAGTGTTCAAGTACTTGTAGCTATTGTTTTACTGACTGTTGAATTTATTTCTGTACCTAGTATTGTAACAGTTGCATTCTGATGTTGTTTTTTCGTTCTGAGTAACATGTTACAGTTGTTTAAATGATTGTGGCGGAAATTCCTCTTATAGATTTTCACATTTTACTAATCCATGATGGTCCACAACGATCCTATACCATCCTAAACTCAATGTCACTAACAAAGAAATCTAAACAAAGGATGCTACAGTAGCCTATATTTGTTAATGGTGTATTTGTTGTTATATTATTCTTATGATATTTTGTATGGTTCATGTAAAAGACTTCGACCAACCTTTTTGTTAGTCCCAACTTAAGGACGGTTTCCTAACTTAATTGGTTTCGGGAATATAATTAAAAAAATTAGAGCTCCTATGATTTTGTATATAGTTTTGATTATTCCTCTTGCAATATCCAACTACTGTTTACTTTACCGTTCTTTGGAGAATTTTATCGTAGTAATTTTACCCCTACCATCATTCGAAAAATCTAAAATGTTACTTTAACTCCCAAGAAACAAACGTTTCTAACAATTTACTTTTTACATGGCATGTCGATATTGCGGGTGCTCTAGTGATTCTTTGTTGAATGTCAGTTGAAGTCGTAAATGATTCAGGTTGCGTGATGTCTTTAAATCAGTTTTAGTCGCGTTTTATCTTCAGTGTGCACTATCAACCACTTCTTTTGCCGGTCTTTCCTTTTCCACTGACGTCTTCTTCCCATCATCTTCTTTTTCTCACGCCACGCTGCTTCGGGGTGGTCATCAAATCTTTTTTACGCACATATGTTTAAAGAGTAGTACTGTAGTAAGTGTGAAAATTTTTGCCTGAATATATAGAATTTCGCGCACTGCTATGCGTTTAAGTATAAGTTTGTCATTTAGCGAAACTGTAGATAGAGTCTGGTGGAAATGTAGAAGCTAGCGAAGGACTTCAGTTCCCATGTCGTGTTTTTTCCCTCTTTTTTTCTTTTTATTTTTACTCTTTCGCAAAAATGTGTTTTTTGCAAAATAAACACTTTTGTTTTCTGCATTTTAGTTATACAACCGATAATTAAATCAAGAATGTTTTATGTATCTTCTGTCCAAATTATAATTGGTATTTCAATCCCTTACCTCTACCACAATCAAACATTAATTTAATATCTTTTGGTTTTTGTATGCAATGACATCGTAAAAATCGTTATTTTCCATCAGCAGCAGACCTGCGTACTCATTGATAACTTCTTGATCAGCATTGTACGTGTTATTAAATTCACGGAAAGTAAAACACAGCTATGTTTGAAGTGTTATAAGACGTATATTTATTTACTTAACGTACTCATTGATCTAAAAAAGTCGAAATCGTTGCAGCATTTCATTCCCATCCCACACGATAGTCTCATATTATTTAATCACAAAGATTACCAAACTGTGACTCGTGGTGATGTTAGCGACGTAGCCGTGTACGTAGGTATTATCCCTATCTGCGCGGTCCATTACCTTTATCTATACACACAGGTGTCGTGTTATCTATATCCAAGCTATTTTTGGCTTTGGTCGCTGCAAATACAAGCTGCGTCATTGATTTTTTGATCTGCAAAAGGCTGTTGGAAAACCTAAAATAATATATTTGAACAATTATGTGTGATATCTGAAGAAAGATTAAGACATTTTGCTTTGCTAGATTAACAAATATTCTTGGTTTATTCTAAATATCTCCGAAGCTAAAGCGATACAGTAGAACCTTCATAACAAGACTCTCAAGAGGATTATTAAATCAGACTTTTTATCAAGGTTGACTCCTTATTGATGTTTGCAATAACATGTGATTTGGGGTAAAAATTTCAAGGAAAATTACACTTGTTATCAAGGGTGACTTGTTATCGAGGGTCTTCTTATCGAGGTTCCACTGTGTATTTATCAACAACGTTTTAAATTATTCACTCGACCACACCTCACATTTTGTTTTGTTCTTCCCACCATGTATGTTTTGACAGAATAAGGAATCTTATAGTATGTTTTGTTCTCATACAGTAACACCAAAATAACTATGTCAGATAGCAGAAATGTGTCTTACCTTTACTAAAAATCCAAAATTCCTGTTATCCTTTTATATTTACTGCCTACTCATTTACTTGTACCTCCAGAAGAACGGGAGTAAGGTGATCTAGGGTCGGACTTGGTCCCGAAGTTTTGTGTTCAAATACTGTCAAACACCAATTTATCAGAGTAATAACCTTGGCCATCTAGGCCTAGCCTGAAGAAATGTGAAAACTGTTCCAGACTTGAACTTAAACGTCCAAGGATTGGTACATAAAACATCCAGAAGTGCAGTTTCTTTTTCAGTGTTGTACACTCCTGTTCTACGGCTTTGTCATCCTTCTAAATTTCCTCTCTGGTTTCAGACTGGCGGTGTGGAGATGACATGGGTGATCGCCGACCACGTGGCGGCGGGCTCCGCCGAGCTGTCAGTGTCCAAGGGACAACAGGTGGAGGTTGTGGAGGTACGACCTGGAGACCCAGAGTGGTGCCTGGTCAGGATGCCAACTTCTGGAAGTGCCGTGGACTCGCCGCCGGAGGGGTTGGTACCCCTGGCTGTGCTGAAGCAGCCGCCCCCTGGGTTCCCCAAGACCGCTCCATCTACATCCCCCAACAGACGGACGGCCGACCACGAACTCGGTGAGTACCATCTTGACTATAAGCTGTATGATGGAACCAGTCTCCTGACCATCCTCTACATGGAGACTGGTCAAAGTTCCCAGTTAGACGAAGTGTCAAAAGCCAGGTTACTTCACACAGACTATAAGTAGACATCCCATCTACATGGACCAGCTGTAGCAGTTAAATTAACAATTCAATGTTTTATTGTAAAAACTATAAGTTCTCCCTTAGTTTTCGATACATCGATCATATAAACTAAAATATGTTATTGATTACAAGTTCCGTTCAGTTTAGCTCCGTTTAAAAGTGATTACAAACAAAATTTATCAGCACCAAGCTCAACATTGTTAATCTTTTTCTAAAACTTTATACATCTTTATCATGTCGATGGGAGGTCTTCTACCTTAGTTTTGATGAAAGTTTGTCTAGGGTTTGTTGTTGAAGTGATTATAGAGAGTTTCTGCGACATCAAATCCTGCGTTCCGGACGTAAACAGTTTGGTCAGTCCTTGTCGACACGAGCGACTTTCTTCTGTTTGTTGACAAAGAGCAAGTTTGGTTTAATTGTTTTGTAGTCTTCTAATAATAAACCGCTGAGAAATCATGACGATCTTTGGTTGTATGTACAGGGCAGGCAAAATATTAGCAAGGGTGGTTCCATTGCATTATTGTAGTAAGATGTAAATGTATAACAATAAATTTCAAACAAAGAAAGCAAAACAGAAACACGTGTGTAAAGGTTTCATTACGCTTTACCATTGACTATAATGGCTTTACTTATTACACGATTGTTTGCCAAAGATATTTTTAAGTTGAGTGAGCCCACAGAAAACATACACAGGTTGAGTCTGCTGCCAAGTCGTTTTGCTTTTTAAAAACTAACTGTGTGATTATTTGTATTAGACAATATCACAGCTGTATTTATCAAGAACTTATTTAGAAATTGAAAGCCTGTTCCAAATACTTTATCATAGTAGGCCTACCGTATAATACAAGACCGTGACGTTGGTGTGTGGCAACGTCGCACCGGCCGGCCTGTTGCCACGGTAATAACAAACGTATGAACATAAACATTGCGATGACGCTCCGTTATGAATTGTGCAACAGCTGTTTCAGTAGGCCGGGATTGCGGCGTTGCCACATTTGCCTCGCCGCGACCTTGTATTGGAGGCTATGACCAATGCATTTGGGTTGTATAGGTTACAGTTTTGTGAACAAAACTATTTATTTATTTTTTTTTTTTTTGAGATATATAGTGTTTTCTGTTGGCTCTTAAAGAAACTACATTTGCTCTTCAAAGTAGGGATACAAATAAATAGCTTGTCATTATAGTGTATTTTCTGTTGAATCTGTAAAAAACTAGTGTTCTAAAAAGTAGTGACAAAAATAATCAGCACATCATAATTTTCTATCTATTTCTTCTTAAACTTCCCAAATCGCCCCAACTTAATAGAAAAAGGTACGCATAGGAATTTAAAGGCGATGTTTAATCTATATTTGGTCACTGTATATTGTAGCCCCCTCCCCCTGTAAACGAGTCTATGTTCTATTAGTTAAGTAACAAATCTATCAATGTTATTGTAGAGCGTTGATGACATTTGCAGCGCACACGGAGTTGTATTGGTGTTGATTGGTGTCCCACATTTCTTCATTGTTTACCACCTTTATCTCAACCACCAGCCACCAACCAACCAACCAAACCCCAACCAGCCAACCAGTCGGTGTGTTACAGTATTCACTCTCCTCAGTTCCAAAGTCGTGTTCTGTGCGGACTGATCTATTATTTCTTGCGACCACAGAAGCTGTGATGTTTTATAACTCAAGTGGCCACCAAACAAACAGTTTTGTATAGGTTTTGTGGACACAGCCAAGGTATACACTCCCGACTCCTACGAAACTGACAGTTTTGTTTGTTTGGATTATTAAGTTGTTTTTTTTTTTTATAAAAAAGAAATTTGTCAAAAGAATTGTTTTTTATTTAGGTTGTTACGTAATAATTGGTAAAATTAACATAACCACTCGTGAGCATTACGATGCGTAAATTCATAACCTCTACAAGGCGGTGGCGAGACAAAAGTGGCAACGCCGCATTGCCGGCCTACCGAAACAGCTGTTGCACTAATTCACAATGGAGCGACTGCGCAATGTTTATGTTTTGACGTTTGTTATTACTGTTATTACCACGGCAATAGGCCGGCCGGTGCGACGTTGCCACACATCAACCTTGTGTTACAGGAGGCTACGTTAAACGTCATACCAATTCATTGTATTTTCGTGTATGTATTTCTGTCCTGGGGTATTTTTGTCGGATTTTTTGGGTATAAATTAATTTAGTAGATTTGGAACGTACAACTTATGACTAATTGGACACTGTAGATACTATGCTAAAGAACCAGACTGAGCTATGACATCATCGTAGCATTTCCTAATTATGCCGTAACAGCGTAGCCATAAAATATCCGTGACATGGCACAAAATAGCGACAATAACTCATTTATAACTCACTGATCGAATCGGCTTGTCAGTTTCATTTGTATCACTTCTCTATTCATTTGTCTAGCGTTTGATTCTCTAGAGCGATTAGTTCGCTGACGACTGTAGATAAATAACTAGTAGCTATATAATTCAAATCTGTAGGTATAATGATAAATAGTGCAGTTTTATTATCGTACTGACAGAAAGCAGTATTCAGACATCTTGTCGAAGCTACCTATTGCGTGTACTAACATAGGAAATTTTACTTCATATTTTTTATTCATAAAATTTATCCGAGTTTTTGTGTCCACCCTCCAAAAACGATTTAATTACAATTTGTTTTCATTTCAGCTACAAGCCTTACTCTATAAATCGGTTTTAAGAGGAAATAGTAGCACGTAGTTTGGTGTAAAATTTAAAAAGTGTTGTTTATTAAATAAAAAAAGATAAAAAATCGTTTTATTTCTAATTTAATAACACATTATTACATGGAATGTTTTACTACAGATCAATAGTTCGACCAATTCCTTCCTATCTATAAAATAACAAAACATATATACTTTCTATACATAATATGAACTTAGTGTTAAATATGCACTAAAGGCACAAGTGTACATAGGTAGGGGCCTGTGCGTGGCTATCAGTTATGGAATTATATGTTTTTAAATGGGAAGTTCATTGCAAATATTAGAGCATACATATTTAAGTTTGGCAAAGTTGTAAATATTGTCTGTTGACAGTAAGTAAAACGTCTCACTTAACGCGAAATCATCATAGTATCAACACACGAAACATTAAACGCTTCCCCTCCATTGATAACAGAGCGTTATCGTATCAAAGAGGCACGTTGTCCGTTACCGTGGGACAAAGACGCTCTGAGCCGTTATCGCCGTTATCAGCTGGACACGCGGGTTATCTCCTGTAGCGTAGTTGTCTCGCAGTCTGGTACAACTAGTTGAGTGTTTGTCAGCGACTCAGCGATGTTGGTCAGCTGTAGATGCGCTCCTCGGAGGCAACGATACGTCTCCGGTAAGTTTTCCTTTTAAAGAGTGTCTTTTCGAAACTTGTCCTCTTGAAGAGTGTAATGTCGAAACTTGTCCTTTTAAGGAGCGATTTGTCGAAACTTGACCCCTTAAAGTCGGTTTGTTGAATCGTGTTATCTTAATGAGTGGCATGTCGAAACGTGTCCTCTTAAAGAGCGTAATGTTGAAACGTGTCCTCTTAAAGAGTGTAATGTCGAAACTTGACCTCTCAAAGAGTGTAATGTTGAAACTTGTCCTCTTGAAGAGTGTAATGTCGAAACCTTCCCTTATTAAGAGTGGCTTGTCGAAAATTGTCCTCTTTAGAGTGTTATGTCGACACTTGTCCTCTTTAGAGTGTTATGTCGAAACTTGTCCTCTTAGAAAGAATGGTCTGTCAAAGATTGCCCTCTTAAAGAGTGTTATGTCGAAACTTGTCCTCTTAAAGGGTGTCTTGTCTAAACTTGTTCTCTTGAAGAGTGTAATGTCGAAACTTGTCCTCTTGAAGAGTGTAATGTCGAAACTTGTCCTCTTAAAAAGATACACTTGTCGAAACTTGTCCTCTTAAAAGGTGTCTTGTCTAAACTTGTTCTCTTGAAGAGTGTAATGTCAAAACGTGTCCTCTTAAAAAGTATCATTTTGAAACTTGACCTCTTAAAAAGTATAATGTCGAAACGTGTCCTCTTAATAGTGTCATGTCGAAAATCTTCCTCTTAATAAGTGTCTTCTCTAAACTTTTCCTCTTAAAAGGTTTATGTCGTAAGTTGCCCTTTGTAATATTACCTGTAGCAAAGTGTCCTCTTATGAGTGCTGTAAGTTATCTAGTAAGTGGTCAATTAATTGTGGTTACGGGTGATCCTTCCATCAATTGTTCTCTCTAATTGCCATTTTAAAACTTATCCTCTTATCATTTTTTGAAATGATACGACTTGTTGAATAGTCGTAAATTCATTACGAATACTGGTCCTTACAGTGCATTCAAACAGCCGTGGCACCTGACGTATTAGGAGACCCCATGGTTCGTTGGTGTTGTCCTCTAATAGTTAACGCCTCTGTTGTAATTTGTAGACTTGTTTGGTTGTAGTATACTTTAGTTTCAATTATTAAAACACACTTAGCTGCACCACTTGACTTTTGAATACTGAATAGTTAACTCTATCAACAATCAAAAGTTGTACCAAACTTGCTACGTGGGCAAAGTGAGACTTGCCGACCTTATGTTTTAATTTCGTTACCCTCGAGAGCTTGCGAAACTATTTTGTCTGAGGCAACTAAACTTAACACTATTTGTAAACATTTCAAGATGCTCCGAGCAATGTGGGTATGAAAAGGTCATCCAATGAGCGGTCAACGTGAAGCATCAATGTTGTTGTAGGCCTAATTGTTGCTAGGCGACGACAACAATGAGATAGTAGTTGCCACTTTTCTATATCTTTAACCAATAATACCTGGAATTGCTTCATGATAAGAAACATGTGCATGTTATGTTGTGCTATTGGAGTGTAAAGTGAATTAAGTATTTTGT